TCTGAGATGATTCTTTGAAAATTTTATGCCATTTTAATACAAGGATCTTTTCTTACCACAATGGATGAATTAACTCATTGTCAAAACTGCATTCAGTATAATATGACATCCATTTAATGTCTTTATCATCAAATTAAGATCAAATGCAAAAGGCTAATGAATACATTCAGTACTGAAGTGTATTTTCCAGGGATGACATTTTCATTTCGATGGAAAAAATCAGAGAACTGCACATTAGAACTGTGCCTCCCTCTATTTCTGAAATTCCCTTCAATAAGGAAATTAACTTGTGGAATTTGGCAGATTTTCCCTTAACTATGAGATAAAGACCATACATAAACAGTAATATCCTGTTGTACTTGGTACCAAATGAGCTGACATTTATTGCCACTGAATAGAAATGTGTAGTCTGACTGCTTGCAGAGTTCATGCTTGAAATTTAGAAATAACAATATTGAAGTAGACCACTTCAGAGGTGGTTATTCATCATGAGAGAATTTTTTGACTGTTTGCTGACTGCTGATCTTCACACTCTTCTACATTTACAACTTCTTAGAAATCACAAGAGAGACATGTGCTTTGGGAAGAATGTATTTTTTGCTTAAAGGGCAGGTGTGTTAAGTCATCATTTCATAGTTAAGAGTTATGGTTATCCCTGGGCAATACGGGTTACTTTGAAAGTGGAGGGGTGATAGCTTTTGGCATATAAGGTGGAAGTATTATAGTAATATTTCATATCCTTGCTTATTGATCTATGTGTACCATACAGTGCTTCTTAAGTAAATATTAACTTTCACAGAATGATACATCTAGTGTCTGTACTATTGTTGTTTAAGGATATTACTTACCACTAAATTCTCAGGAATTTCTATGAAGTAAGTCTGTAAGTTGTTGTGGTTTAACCCCAGCTGGCAATTGAGCCCCACACAGCTTCTCGCTCCCCAGTGGTGGGATGGGGAGAGAATCGGAAGGGTAAAAGTGAGAAAACATGTGGGTTGGGATAGTTTAAAGGGTACAGCAAAAGCTGTGCATGCAGCAAAGCCAAACAAGGAATTCTTTCACTTCCCATGGTCAGGCAAATGTTCAGCCATCCCCAGGACAGCAGGGCTCTGTCACACATAACAGTGTGGAAAGACAAACACCATCACTGCCAATGTCTCCCCTTCCTCCTTTTCTCCCAGCTTCCCATGGCAAGCATGATGCCACATGGTCTGTGATATCACTGGGGTCAGCTGTCCCATTGTGTCCCCTCCCAACTCCTTGTGCACTCCCAGCCTCCTTGCTTGTGGGGTCGGGTGAGGAGCAGAAAAGGCCTTGACTCTATGTAAGCGCTGCTCAGCGGTAACGGCACATCGGTGTGTTACCAGCACTGTTCTCAGCGCAGATCCAAACCATCATCCCATGCCAGCTACTGTGGAGAAAATTAATACTACCCCAGCCCAAACCAGCACATAAGTGCTGTTAGTTTTACAGCAGTGGAAATTGAAACACAGACACACAAATGCTGGCTCTCCTTTGGCCTTTATAGATCATGATTCTTTTCTGTTTCTTTTCTGGATTTTTTTAACACAAAGACCAGATGTTTCTAAATTAGATTTAATCCACTGTGGTTTAAAACCTAAGTGTTGGGTTACTACAGAAGGGCCTTAACTGTCAAAAGCTCATAGTAAATATTAGGAGGGAGAACAGTTAATCTTTCCATTTTAAGACTTGTCTATGACTTTCTTTATTTCTTTATAATACTTTGCTCATGCCCTACTTGGTTAGTCTTAAGATAAAGAATAAACAGACACTGCCACTACAGTTTATCCATCCTTAACTTTTTTTTTAGCCTGTGGTGAACAGCCAGTCTTAATTCTGCTTGCTTTTAAAGCCTCTGTTCTTGGGACTTGAACTTTTATAGATTTTGATTATTGAGATTTATTTTGCCATCTATGAATTAACTTGCATGGAAGGGCTTGTGCACCTCTGTGATACTCAGTATGAAGAATGTGAAACAGGCAAATTGTACATTTGTTTTGCTGTGCATTTCAGCATGGATTCCTTATTCAGAGACCGTCTCTCTCTCTTTCTGAAGCATATAATAAATCTGTGCACTTCATTTGGTCTTTGAAAGCAAAGTGGTATCCTCTAGATGTAAGTAGGTTTCATAATACAGGATATGAAGCAGTCTGTATAGATGCTGGTTTTAAACTCTGTTTCTGCTATTTTAATGTCTCTGTAGCTTCTATGTCCCTTTCCTCAGCTGTTGATGCCTTGCACTCTCCTGGGTGTTAGTAGAAATCCATCTACTTTGTTTCCAACACACCAAAATGCAAGCAAGTAATTAAAAGATTTCTAAGAGAAAATATTCATGTTGGAGGCCTATGTACTCAAATGGTATATTCTGTTAATATCAGTGTACCTCGTTATCCCATCCTTGATCTGAGGTATGGTTGGAAAGAAAAATGAAATTGAGAAAAAAACAAAATTGTAACAAAAAGGACAAAATATTTATATTTATATGAATTTATACACATGTATATGTAGAACATTTAAGCAGAAAATACCTGGTTTGACAGTGAAATTGTTTACTACAAGTTTGTTCTGGAACAGTGTTTTCTCATCATTTCTCTCTGCTAAAGACAGATGTGAGTATATTTTCCTCTATCCATTAAAACTTATCTTGGTTCAATTATTCCTTAATTATTCTCTATTTAAGTTTATTGATTTGAATAATACAGTGATAACCTGTGAAGAGTCAGATGAGGGACCTTTGTGGTTCACAATTCTGTGAAATATGATTTTGTTTGTCCTTTATTATCTATTTGTAAGCTTATTATGAACATATATTTGTGTTAAAATGTTATCATTTTCTCAATTACTGTCCAGCTGCCACAGGGAAGTCACTGGAGACCAGATTTAGTTTATGATATTTCTTACATAAAGAACAACAAAGGAAAAAAAAAACCCACAGCTAAAAATACCTGTCATAACAAAACCTAATCTTTTCATGCCTTTTATAATAAAAAGCACAAAAGTTTCAAGTTAGTGTTTAAAAGCCCTTTGCAACTTACAGTTAATTTATAAAAAAGCCTTCTGAATTGGCACTGTTCTCTGGAGCTTGCTGGGCAATGATCTTACCTGTTCCCCTGGTGTACAGTACCCTGCACCTCTGCCTGGGTTCCCTCCTGCTCATTCCACTGCTCCACCAGCCCTCAGACACTGGAAGGGCTGGAAAGATGTAATCATCTGCTTAAGATATGTGCTACCTCTGTTTCTTTTGTTGTATATAAAATTAGACCTAAACATAGAGAACAGTTCTGTTTTTGTTTGCTTCTGGGTTGTACTGATAGCAGGTTCTTTGTTCTTTTCTGTGAATGACTAATCCATGAAAAATGTCCATGCTGCCATGACTCAGGCAAGTTTCAGTTGAACACTGGCAGCTGAACAAGCAAGCATCTTTTGCCAGGCCTACCTCTCTCCCAGGGAACTCTGACAGGAACAGTTACCCTGTGTCTTCCCCTTAGTCTTCTCTTCTTAGCTAAGCACTAATGAAGCACGGCTCTTCCTTTTTTTGTTCCTCCTTTGAAGTCTGTGGTTGGCCTCTGGGAGAAGCTTATTAGGTACCAAACAGCCCATTAGCTTCTTCCAGACTCATCTAATGGGGTGTACAAACCCTGTATTATGCCACTGCAAAATTGTCCCACTGGGAGAAGAAAGACAAAAAGGTTGTGGAAAATAGATTAATAATCTCCTACCCCTTTCCAGTATTACATATATATATAGCCATCCATACACAGTCAGTCAGGCATCTACGTAATCACCCCAGCACGAGCAGAGCAGAACCTTTTCGTAGTGTCTAGTAGAGCTGCTGATCACAGAAAAAAAAAACAACACTGAAGTATAATTCAGAGAAGACTCTGCAGGAGAGAAACTTTGCATAAGTTTTCATTAATTTTAAGAACTGTTTAAAGTGCCATAAATAACTTTTCATTATATCTCAGTTAATGGTATGGCCTTCTTTATGCTTCTCTCCCCTGCTTTATCTGCCCCATTCAGCTTTGCTGATAATGCCAGAGCAGAATTAGTGGGAAATTTAGAGGTGAAGAAGTGTGGAATCATCTTAAGCAGACACCACTGTAACATATCTAAGTTACTTATATATATGACATGGAGGATTAACCCTTCTTCATACAATCCTGAGTGATTAAAATACAGGATGACGGAGCTGCCTCTTCGGGGAGGCTTTGGGCTGCTCAACAAAAATTGATTACCATCCCGTGTGTAGATTATTACACTGTCTTTAGGATTCTGCTAAGAACTGTGGAAACTAAACTACAGCAACTCTGTTTTGTTCAGTGTCTTGCATGCCATAGAACACTACTGAAGAAAGGTCTAGAAGTATGATCTTCCCAGCATTTATACTCATTTTTTTTTCCCTCTTATAAAATGCCTTTTTTCAGTTAACAGCTGATTTAATGACGAATACATACGTCAGCCATTATCCCAAAATATTTTTTTTTCATTAATAAGACTTCAGGCTAAAACTTTATACACTTTTCCTACGTATGCAATGTAAAACTGCTCTAAAACTATTTAATTCCATCTAATCATTTCCTTGAATGCTGTATCAACTGTGTGAAAATTAGACACTAGAAATGAGTCTTAAGAACCTGAAGTTGATAAGCAGTTAATACACTTAGTGCCTTATTTTGTATTTTATTCATAGGCAGCTGAGCTTTGGTAGTTTCTCCAAGTCTTTGAGCTTTATTATATTCACTGTAGTATTAACCTATGTTGATTCCACTTAAATTAGCCTAGTCCAAGTCAAAGCAGACAGACTGAAGAGATAGTGCTTGAGCTGTGAAGACTTACTGTAAAGCATGGTTGTGCTGGTATCTGACTGTTTACTCTTCAAGGCCATTCAGCTGGAATATAAAGGTAGGAGTTTGGGAGGTGTGGGGGCCTCTGACTATCTGAAGCAGTTGAACTAAAACACAGTTCTGCTGTAAAGAGACTGATAACTGAAAATGCTTGACTAGTTCATATAACTTAAAGCTGGCATATAATTTATACTTACAGTTCAGCATCAGTTCCAAAGCATTCATCTACATTTGATGCTAACCGGTACAGTCGTGTTTGTTGAAGTGTAGTGTCAGAACCTCAATCTTATTTTCATTCTTTGTTTCCTGGAAAGGAAAATTCAGAGAAAAGGTTTTCAGTTAGTAGTGCATGCATAGTCTGAACTGATCTTTAGTCTATCAGTCTCAGGATAAATCATCACAGTGAGAAAATACAGAGGATCTTAAATGAAGTACTTAGACTGAATTGCCTTTATAATGTAAGATGTTCAGTGTGTACAATAGAGAGATAAATGGCATAGCCAAATGCAAGCTGGAGAATATATTGAATGTAGGGGGATAGAATTACTTGTAGCATCATTGTCATGAGACCAGTAAGAAAAAGGTGATCTCTGGAGAGCTTTGTGGGGAGCGAGCACATAGAAAAAGGGGAAGTCAGTCAAGGTGACACAGAAGTACTCTAGTGAAAGCATTACAGTATAAGCATTGGGGTTACTGTGATGCTAAATAGAGAAAGGGGAAAACAACAGATAATGGCTGTTGAGAAACTGTTGCTCTCCCTGTGTAGATGTGATGTGTTTTCTAGGAGGACTATTACTTCTGCACAGTCATTCATTAGAAAGGCATCATTTTGTATGAAAGAGGAAGAAAGTGTTTTTCCTTGTTTAAGCAATAAAATGAATAATTTTAAAGCCACAGGATAATATTTGTATTTATAAAATACAAAAAGCCAAAAAATTCAAAGGGAAATAGATGCTTTATTAGAGGAACTTGCTGGGAGGAAATGTGTGGAAGTACTCTGCTGGGGGGGGGGGGGGGAGAAATTGGTTCAAGTAACAAATTCTGACTGAAGTTTGTTTCTGAGAAGGGTTGTGTGTCACTGTAGTTACTTGGGGCAGTCAGCAGCAGAGGGTTTACATGCCAGCAGTACAATATTATAGAGTTTCTGAATTGTGCTACACAAGCCACTAACTGTACGGCAGGACCTTTAAAGCAATCTGCTGTACAAAGAGTTTTTCAGAGCCTAGTTTGAAGTGTTGCTGCTACTGCTGCACTCATTACTGAGTATAGTATGGTCAAGCAGGAATAGCTGGTGGTAGGTTGTCTTTTCATGTCTCAGGTTGCTACCATTTTCTAATGCCTGGTTGTTGACCCATCTCCTCAGGCTTTCATGCTTATAAGCATCTGATAAATCCAGGAGGCTGTATGGATCTGGAGGAGATATATTGGTTTCAAGGTAAGCTGTCAAGCTAGGAGTACATGGTTTTAGGAGGGCTGAAAGAAATAGAGCTGGGTAGTAGCAAACCTGTGTCCTTTGAACAAGGTGTTCTCTCTCTACACAGATACGTGCAGCCCTCATAGCTCCTAGAACCTCACGAGGATGCCACTGTATTGATGGTTAGATGAGTGTCACACACTTCAGTGATGCATAGAGAATCCCCTCTTCTGACTTGCCAAAACAACTGTCTTAAATCTGTGACAAGAGGAAGAACAAAGTGTTTTCACATCTCTGCCTTACTCCAGAGCATGGCTCAGTGGCACCAGAGGAAACTAAATCTGGAAAGTCAATAGTTTCAAGGAGCTTCATGAAAAAAATCGGTTTTCCTGAGTGAGGAGTGCTAACCAGGCTTAATTAAAAGGTATGATGGTTTTTATGCTACCAAAGTGAAGCTAGCTCCTTAGAGAAGCAGTTTTTCTGCTTATGTGTCTGCCCACAGAGATTATTGTTGTTGTTGTTAAATAAAACAAAATAGTTTTTCACTTAGCTACTGGCTTTAAACTAAGCAATAACAATATTTTCCACCCATTAAGTCTCACAATATGCTTGTTGGAAACAAAGGCTGTGTCTTCGGTTGTGTGGGTATTGCTAGGCTTGTGAAGAACAAACTGTTTTGGTCATTCTCATGACTGGTGAACTGGGACACTGGGCAAGCTGAATCAGGTATCAAAAAGCTGGTTTGCAAGTCAAAGAACTCAAATTGTGTACTTCAAATACACCTCTAAACTGTGATTTCCTTTCAATGAGAACAGCAATTTGCATTTTTCTGTCTTTCTACTTAACACTTCAAAAGGATGTGACATTTTTTTAAAGAACTGGGAAGAGCAGACATTATAATTGAAAGAGTGGAGTGGGTAATATTTACAAAACCAGTTTATTCAACCCCTGGATGAAGATTGTCCAGTAAGATGAGCCTAATTTTTGCAGAAAGGAAAGTGTGCTATTTGTTGAAGGGTCTATTCTTTGCTATCAAGCTTGATGGATTAATTAAAGGAAAAGGAAGAATTTCATTAAAGGCACATTTCAAAGTTGGCATAAGGGATACATCTATACAAGGATTTCCACTGAACAGGAGGCAGTCTGTATGTCACTGACTTGGGATCTGAATTACAGTACAAAGATGCTGATTCTTTTTCCCTTGTTTTAATGCTACTGTGAAGACAGTGTTCTCACAGGAGAATGGATAATTGGTACATAAACTCTGAAAATCCTGAAAGATACAGCAAGGCCATGAGAGGCCCGAGGAAGCCTAAACAAGCGAGATAAGAAGCAGCTGGATTTCACCGAGTTAATGAGAACTGTGTACTGTTGGCAAGCTTTCGAGGTCAAGTTCCCACACCTGTGCTTAACCAATTTGCTGGTTGCAAAGGGTCTTCAAGACATGCATCCAATCATAATATGCCAAATCACTGGAAGTGCATGTAAGAAATAGTATTTAAGGGGTTAAGGCTTTGTAATAAAGGGCTTTTTGTCTGATCATATTGATCTCTGACTGAGTCCATATATATTCTGCGGCAATTGGCGCCCGAACAGGGACCCCCCATATTTTTCATATTGAAGCTGAAAGAGTTAAAGCGCGTGGCAACGAAGAAAGTGGAAAACGCGGAGCCGCAGGGACGTCAGCTGGGTTCGATCCAGCAGGACCAGGATCGGGAGGTAGTCGCCTCGGAAGACACTGCGCAGTGCAAATGAGGTAACAGCCGACGGGGGTTGGAAGAGGGTTAGGATGAGAAAAAAAAAAAAAGGTCATCCTTAAACTCTTCCAGCATATCCTCTCAGTGAGAGGGATCGAATATGTCGATAATCTGTTAAAAAGATTGTTGCTCTGGAGTAAAGAAAAAGAGCTGATCCAGGGGGTTAGAAGCTTTTGATCTCGGGACTTGGAAAAAAATTGCGGCACGCCTGTGGGATCAAGTTACTTGTGGGTTTAAAGAGGCGAAGTCTCCTGCTGCCCCCTGGTTACTGCTAAAAGGGACTCTAGCCGCAATGAAGGCTGAGAAACAGGCGGCAAAATCCGCTTTTACAGCTCTCTCTGACTCGCCTTCACAACAGCAGGGCTCGGCACCTACATTAGATTCAGCACCCGGTGCTACAGCCATGGTAGTGTCGTCTGTTTCAGGCATAAAACATTCTGGCCAAAAACCGGCGCGCAGTACAGTACGAAAGTTGGAGGACCCTGCGCCTTTCCCCTATCCTGTGTCGACAATGCCTTTACCGGCGGTAGCTCCAGCTGATACTCGGGAGCCGGTAGCGGCTACTGAGCAACCGAAACAAACTGATGTTAACCCTTTTTGTGCTGCTACTGCCCCTAAACTTAATCTCCAAGATTTTTTGCCGGGGTGGGAGACTCCTGAGGAGGAGAGTGTAACTGCAAATAAATACCCACCTGTGCCACATACGTCACCGCTTGCATCGCTCCCACCGGAGCCGCAAAATGAGTGGAACTGGGGACAATGGACAAAATCCTTAGATAAACAATTGCAGGACTTGTGGGACCGTGTGGACAGATTGGGGGAGGAGACTCAGCAAGCCCCAGAAAAACCGGAAAAACCAGGTAAGATCAGCCCGTGTGATGTGCCGTTACCACCGACTCCTACATCTAATAAAGCTAATCCGAGTGCCATGAGATGGTGAGGCTGCATTCAGGATGCAATTATGCAAAGACGGTACTATTTTACCAATAGATGTTCCTGCTGCATTCCCTGTTATTATAAATTCTCAGGGACAGTCTGTCTGGACTCCTATGGACTGGAAAGCTATGAAAGAAATTAAGGGAGCAATTACTCAGTATGGGTTGTCTTCCTCATATACACAGCAAATGTTATCTGCTTTCTTTTCCAGTAATGTTCTAACTCCAAATGATTGTCTCAGAGTGGCTGCAATTTTATTAACTCTTTCACAGCTCCTACATTTTAAAAGTGGGTTTGAGGAGCTTGCTGCAAGGGCTGCAGATGAGAATTCAGAGTGTAATCCTCATCACCCTTTGCACGGTGTTTCATCTGAAATGTTATTGGGAAAGGGACAATTTCACCCTGATGGAGTACAAGCTCATATGAAAATTGAAGTTTTACAGCAAGCACACCAATTGGCTTTAGCTGCTCTGAAAGCTGTGCCGGAAGCAGGAAAGCCTAATCCTTCATATGCATCAGTAAAGCAGGGACCTGCTGAGCCCTATATGCAATTTATTGACAGATTGACAGAGGCTATCGAAAAGAATATTGATCTGGCATCTAATGCTAAAGAATCGATGCTTACGTCTCTGGCTATGGAAAATGCTAACCCAGCTTGTAAGCGTATTTTGCAGGTTTTGCCAAAATCTGATGGTCTTCAAGAAATGATGGATGCATGTTCTAAAGTGGGCACAGCAGAGGAAAAGGCTGGATACATGGCTACTGCCTTCGCCACTGCTGTTAAACCCCTTCTACAACAAGGTCAGGGTGATCGTGGGGGTACTAAAGGTATGAGATGTTATAATTGTGGACGGATGGGGCATTTTAAAAAGCAGTGTACTGTAAAGAAAATCAGTTTAGCAACCCACCCCCCTCAGTGTGGTGTTACTGATTTTGCAGACAAATGTATTAAATGTGACAAATTTGGCCACAAGACCATTGAATGTCGTTCAAAGTTTAAAAAAGAGCCCCGTTGGGAAACTTGGATGTGAGTGCGATGCCACCCCGTGCGACGACACAAAATCAGGGTGTCTGGACTGCATCCCCTCCGCCACCGCAGGGAGTGCCGGAGTGGACGTGGCAACAGCAATAGATTTTACCATAACTGATACTTCTGGTCATTGTATTCCATCTAAATTAAATGGGCCTCTTGGTCATGG